TTTTCCAATGGAAAGGCTAATTTGTCCATTGGATCCAATGGACAGGTAAAATTCCATTGGACAATAATTGGTCCATTGGATCCATTGGATCCATTGGACCATTGGAACATCTCTCTGGTTTCATAATCATGTCCACATGGAGTCTTGGAACCTGTTAATTACGTAATGGTAAAAACGCGGAAGCTCTTATCCGGTTGATGCATTGTTCCGATCGGCAACCTTCACATAGTTTGTTATTCGGGTGATGCATAGTTCCGATAGTTGATCCATTGCTGGCCAGTGGACATTCCATTTGTCCATTGGATCCAATGGACACGGAAAAGTCCAATGGAAAATTGGAGGTCCATTTAATCCATTTGACAAATAGAATGTCCAATGGCCATTTGATTATTCCATTGGACATCTTGCATAGGTATTGGACATGTATGCTTAAGCTTGAGCGACTTGGTGTGCGAGACCCTTTACTGAGATGGTTCAGATCACGTTTACCCGGGAGAAAACAACGGGTAATTATTGACGGTCAGTCATCTGACTGGAGACAAATTGAAGCGGGGGTACCCCAAGGTTCTGTACTAGGACCTTCGCCTTTTTTTATTTATATTAATGACATTACTACAAATCTTCTATCTAATTCTTTTCTTTTATGACATCCCGTCATTGGTTCTTGTACTGTAATATTAAACAATATATAACCAATACTAAAATGCTTTTCGCTGTGATGTACATCACTGGAAACTGATAAGCCATACTAACATGATTTGTGTTCTTAATAAAATCAATATAAATCCCCAATAACAGGATAGAAGCCTAGAACTCTTGGTCACATGCAACGACGCATGAATGCGAATATATGACCACCCCATTCTTTTAAAAACGGACATTTTTCCACGGTAATACGACATCCCCAAAATCGGACAGATGTAAGGTCGGAAGCCCAACGATACATAGTTCGAGCGAAAGACTGGGTCTAGGGGTCAAATATCAAAAATCATTGCGCAGTAACCACTCGTCATTTCAGGTTGCGGAGCAAATTTTTCAAAGATATCGAGGTAAGCCTTTTAAATTTATATGTTTGCACATTAATGAATCCAGGAAGAAAGTGACAAAAAAATTAAATCAGGGATCTTATTTACTATATCAAATTAATAAGAAATAATTTCAGATGGTGATTTTAAATAGTGAAGGATACGCTCATTTACGTACTATATACAAACGACACTAAAGCCATAGCTCTTTTAATGAGCAATTATTTGGTTCCTGAAAGGCAACCCTTGCTTTGGCCATTTGTTGAATGAGGCGAAATTAAAGACTTTCTATGATGTTTCTAATTACAATAATGAAACAAGTATAAGTGATAATACTATGAATTACACGGATGAGTGTTTGTTAGAGTTAATGAAATTTATAAAATCAACAGGAACGGAAACACATAGAGAATTTCCCTGTGTAAATGTTATATTAATTATTAATTGTGCTTTCGTACAAATCCTCATATAACGCGGCTTGCCGTTTGAAATAGCAAAGGATTTCTAACAACGACAGCTAACAGCATGAACATATTGATATTATTTATGCACTATTTTTCTACCTTGTGCTTTAAAATTATGAATGGACTTAATTAAGTGAGAATGATTGAAATTTTCAACAGCAACATCAAGACGGCATTAAGCCAATTATAAATGTCAACTTTCCCCCAGCGGCCCAGCTAATCAACATTCGTAGCAAGAACTATATACATTCAACATAATTTGATTACCTCTTTCCAGTGATTTTGTGTGGTATATACATATGTTGAGCCAACCATGCAGAAGGAATCCGATCTGCAGTTCTTGAAACAGATCCAAATAATTTAGCAGATTCATGGCCATACATTACACAATATGACTAGTCTGGTTTTTGTACTGCATGGAGTTGAATTACTTATAGTGAATAGGACACGACGACACTGCGGAATGTGTGATCAATATGTGCCTATTGTAAGTAACCTGCGCTTTGTAAAATTCTAGCTACTATAGTACACCTCACTTGAAACAACTTTCAGCGTCGGATCAAATTCTATATATATAAATGTCACCAAGTGCAAACTGCAAGTGAACCACTTTTGACTTGCATTGAAATTTCCAGTTACAAAAACCCTCTGTAAGTCCTGCACAAATCCAATACAGTAATTGTATTTTTGGCAGCTGCTCATTTGCCACAAGAATATATCCATCTTGTATATTCATCTATATATCCATATAGCCACATTGCGACTTCAGATTAGCCCTGATGAAGACACTAGAGGAGTGTCGAAACGTTGGTTCGTGAATGCAATTCGACTGCATGGGCTTTGCATTCCTTTATTAAAAACAGAATAACGTGCCAAAATATTAGTTATATTATGCTTGGTTGCCATAACCCTCACGCTATCGATCTAAGGGGCCGATTACATGGAGCATTTTCAACCCCGGAGTTGAACTCACTGCTTCAGCTAGCAGGGTTGAAATTTCAACCCCGGGGGTTGAACCCAGCCCTGGGTTGAAAATTTTGTCATGTAATCGTTTCAATCTAGGGCTGAAATTATCATGAGTTATTCGAGCATACGTGATAGTGACTATTTATTACAAGAAATCAAAATAAAGGCTTTTTTACTTCCGGGAATCGATGCCGAGAACGTATAGTATAGCTACTATAGCGTTTCAACCCCGGGGTTGAAATCGTCCATGTAATCGAAAAAAAATTTCAACCCGGTTAACAGGGCTGAGTTCAACCCCGGGTCGAAAGTTCTCCATGTAATCGGCCCCTAAAAGTTAGAGTGGTCGCTAATCACCACTCATCACGTATAGTTATGTAAATTAACTATATATTCTTTGCTTTAAGATTGATCCAGTGCTTTCCATCATTCGTGAAACTGTCGCATGTACATTTTAAGCAATCTTAAATCCACATTTCTGTTCTATCCTAATGCTATAATTATATACTATTGGAAATGAATCGTTACGGAATTTTTAGAGATACAACGGGTATAGATTAAACTTGAAAACCATTACTTTTTTAGATGTTTCGTTTCCTTATTGTTTCTGGAGTGTTCATGCTGCTGTCTTTGTTCCATGCAAAGGTGACTCCCTAGTTCATTTCGAAATTAATTTGAATAAAAATGAGAAATCCCCATCACGCAATAACAACTTGTTGTTTTTATCAAATATTAGAATTTGTACCTCATTGAATTTTTTATCTACTGAGGTCATGAGGACTTACACGTGATATACATATACATAATGATTTCCCAAGTTACCAGGATACTTGGAATTGACAACCAGTTGGCAAGTATACGACACGCTAACTACAATGGGTTACGATTCCTTCCCAACCAATTTTAGTAAAAAACTTACTTTCTGCGCATGCGTACCCGTCAGATTATAAATCTAGAAATGCAAGTATTCGTGCAGCAACCTCTCCCATTTTAAAATCAAATGAATGTACTTTTTAGGATTATTTCAAAATATTGGAGCCGTAAGAAAAATACGCCAAAAATTTGTCAATTGAGTAACATCAAAAACCAAATATCGTACTTTGCTTGAGGATGTAGAGCATTCTTTGTGGCATAGTTATACAGTGACCATATATCTTCAAGCCAAGTCAATAATTAATTTCCCACGTGAGATATTAAATTCATGTATAGTTTTATAACGATCACATTTGAATATCAGTTTCTCGTGTGAAATTAATGTGAAAGGCAATTGTGGGCTCATAATAGCTTTAACGTCGTGTGTTTAAATCTAGTTCACCAAAGGCATTACTGTTCACCTACTGTATGCTTTTAATCCGTTCAGTTGAAACGTTAGCAGGGATTGGATTTAGAAAATTTAGGTAGGGTTGCGCCAATACATATTTAAAGGAAAAACTGCATGAAATATGTGCGAAATTACTCAACAGTAAAATAGGACTGTAGGACAAGATGTGCTCCTTATTATTTATTATGTGCTTGATATGTATTGAAGTTGAATAAAAAATACAGAAGAAATTTCAGCAACTAGTTTTTCGCAAAAATAGATGCTGACAGTTCGTAAAACGCATGATCCAGGAAGTTGTTCAAAATCAAACCATGGTGAACTAATATTAGTAAAGGACCGAGAGAACAGGGACAAGGTATTAGTTTGCACTGAAGATAACGAAGACTACAGATGGAAAACAGCAGACAGTAAGTATTCGAATAACTTGCCTCCTTTCACATGAATAAACATGCAAAGCATGTTTTCTAAGCCGCTTGCCTCAACGTAGCCACATATATTTGGTGAATGGCCTCGAAACAATATCATATACAAATACGGTTCGATGCGGCTTAACGGAATTTTTGGATGAAATCCTGAAGAAACCTATGGGCAACACCAGCTTTTAATTTATGCATGCAGGGGGTGATGGGAAGTAAGGTATCATCTTGCAGATTTATATGCTGAAAAAATTTCTGTAAAAACTGCCGAAACAAACGATGTATTTCAATATTTACAAGTATAAGCTATCACTCCGTGTTTACACGGCCGTCATTTTTATTTTATCAGCATGTATAATCGGCAATATGATACCTTACATCCCATCTTTCCCTGCGCGCATAAATTAAAAGCTGGAATTGCCTATTGCACTGTTTGAACACAACAACTTTATAGTCCAAACATTGTTTTATCTTGAGGTAGTTTATAACAGTATAATGCAATCAATTTCAAGATGAAAATCATATCTTTTCCCTGCGAAGTAAAACGACTAAACCTATATAACTTATGAATTATAAATTATAAAAATCTGTAATATATCAAGATTTTGTGAAGACTCAAAAGTTCATTGCACCACTTTTGGCGAAACACTTGCAAATGTTAAAAATAAACAGCAGTTAGGAAAAAGAAAGCATTACTGAGATCCACTCGCTTTTGACATTAGCTATAGCATACAATTAGCCTTTCTCACGCCGCCATTTTGTGTGGCTTTTTAGCCGAAGTCTGCGAGGTAAATCCATATAACAGTGACTATTTATTTATTTTCTTTAAGGAATGATGGTAAGTTTGCTTTCTGAGTGGTTATAGTATTCTGAAAATTGCTTTTCACATTGTTTTAACTGTCAGCATTGGTTAACGAGAATTAGATGCCACCCAAAAATGGCAGACACTCGTCATCATGAGAAAGGCAAATTGCTTGCTACCAATCTTGGACATGATTGGTTGAACTACTGCACCTTTCTCTCTGTACAAAATTTGCATACCACTATATATACAAATAATAAATTGTATGGTCAATCATTTTGTGCTGCTTAATCCTCCGCTTTCCTAACTCCACAGTTGAGCGAAGGGGGGGGGGGGTATTTTCCCCAGGTATCAATCTCCAAAAGAGCACATATAACTGTAAATAATCTTTGCCGATATAGAAAATCACTAGGAATATTACATTTGCATATAGAAAAACCCTCACTTCGGTCCTGATTTGTATAATCACAAATTACCAAAATTTGTGTGGCTGTTGTTTACAACATTTAATTTAGTGAAGGGTGCCACGAACAAGTTTTGTGAATGTGATTTAACCTAATCAGTAATCGTTGGAACTTCCTCAAGGGCTTTTTCCGAGATTTTAGCTTCTAAAACAGTACAATACAAATTATGGTTATCTTTCTCTTAGCGTTGTCCTTTTTTAATCATACTCGTGTGTAGTAACCGCCGCGAATTGATACCCATGCAGTCACGAGTTTTCACCCCACGCTTTTGGCGCTTGGCACGCCTCAACGAACCTCACATCTGATAAACTGAAAATGATATATTTTAAAATGCATGCAACTGCGTTTTTAAATGTTTTGTTGTTCATTAAAATCGCTTTTCTTTTGTGACGCAATGTTTCCCTTTATCGACCGTAACTAATTCTATCAAGCTTTACCAATGTCGTCCTATAAGTAAAATCACACAGAAAATCTACTTGTGAATGATATCCAAGTAAGGTCTAAACTATAACACCAAAGCCTTGTCTCATGTGAATGATATTGAAACCATTTAAGATTCGAAACCACCTGGGGAATATTTTAATCCTGGCTATGACTGTTTGGATATTCTCAACAAGAACACCAAGGCTAAAGATGGATATTATTGGATAAACTTCAATGAAGGCCAACCGAAAAAGGTAGGGGTAGCCAATAGACCTTATGCATAATGACGTCACAAGGTTTGATGCCCGCGAGGAATGCTGGTCTTAAAAGTCATCGCCCGGGAAAGTTTCGACAGTGGCCAGTTTGGATTGTTTAATTTTCCTAGGCGCCGGACGATAACTACCAAGACCAGCATTCCTCACCGGCATCAAGCTTTGTGACGTCATTATGCATAAAGTCTATTAAAATGGTTGTAAAAGCAATTATTAAAGGATTTATATCGGGTCGCATGTCGTTTACTGACGTAATAATTTCATATTACTATAACCTATATGCTCCATAAGTAACATACTGTAGTGCACGAAAAAGAAAAGCATGTCAACGAGGTTTTCTGAGGTTCTTCCAGGATGCCTGACTAGAAGATTTTATCTAGCAACAGTTTTTTTCCATTCTACTTACAACATGCTGTGTTGTATTTATTGAACGATTATTTTGTTTCCATATTCGCACATTAAATTGTTAAAGATTTTAAAAATTGCAAATGTTGCTGCATGTGCACAAATTAACTGTATACCCCCTTCCTTCAGTACCTTAAAGCGATTTGTTTGTTCGACTGATATCCTGGACTACCGGCGCTACTTTCATAGTCAACAGAATGCATATTATAGCTACTGCAACTAATTCCTATCAATCAGCTAGCTAAAATATACTCTCTTTGTACCGGAACTGCATATTCAAGTATGTGAATTTAACTGTATCTTCAGGTTTATTGCGACATGTCAACAGATGGGGGTGGGTAAATATATATTGATTGGTCATATGAATGACACTGTGATATGGGACGTTCCTTCAAGTAGTGAAACTGTCGAACCATTTGGATATCCACAGTGGTCTAGTGAGCTTGGAGATATCTCTGTGATTGATTTCAGAATACAGGTCGCCTCCAATGACGATTTTGAGAACCCAGCAGTTCATTGGTAATTATCTTCCTTCGCGCATTGCGACCAGCATTGGGTAGCAAAGTGTAACAAACAACAACAAGGGTACGATTTACTATATCAAAGTGAAAAAACAGAACCATACTTTATGAGTAGCAAAGATTTGACTAAATTCACTTTTTCCATTGGTTGCCATTTCCTGTTGTCTCATTTCAATGTTCCATGGTAATGATTGTACGTTGTTGATAATTCTTCTATTTTTCGAGATTTTTGAAACGACCCATTTCGGCCAAATTCGTTACCCAGAATATAACTGTGGTACACAAACGTCGCGGTTGTTCAATCGCAAATAATTATACAAGAATGCAACAGGCAACAAGCAAGAATGTTACTCCTCAAAGATATTGGATTTAGTCGAGCGTAAATGTCCTGTGAATAGATACTCATATGCTGAAGAAAATGGCGTCACCATTTGTCTTGTTCAAAAATGCAGTTCTTTTTCCATGTTCTGTTATTTTGATATAATTTGTTTGCTTTCAATCAGTGACGTAGTCAGCCCGACAATTTAGTCCCGCTATCAGGAACGAAGCTCGGATGGGGGAGGGGGTCGTATGGGGGGCGTGTGACACCCCAAAAATACGAATTATCTGGATTGGCAGGGCGATTAATCTGGATGGCAGGGCAATCAAATATTTTAAATGATGGAATGGAGTTATTAAGTAACTTACAGGGCTTTCCGAGGGAATTGAATAGAATTTACAGACCTTAATTTTACAGATATTGGTCCAAAAATAAGGGTTTTATTCGTGTTTTAACAGGAATTTGTACGGGGAAAAGTTTTGGACCCTTAATTTAACTGGTTTATGTCGGGAAATATTTTTTCTACCCCCCCCCTCCCCCCCCGCCCAACATATTTGGGAAAAATCGTGGCCAGAAATAATTTCTTTTCTGCACGGCATTATCGGTTTTGGCAGGGCAATTATGGTAGACCCCCGCCCCCCCCCCGAATTAAAAGGGGTTAGTTTCGCCCCTGCCCGCTATGCAAACTCAAGTTTATTATAATTATCCATTTCTTTAGAAATTGGTTGTTTTCACAGTGAATGAACGCGAAAATATTTGCATAGCGGGACCAAATGCATGGTCGAGCTGGCTACGCTGCTGCTTGCAATTGTACCGTAGCCCCCAACAAATCATTGAAAACAAATAAATTTGTCGCTCAAATTTTTTCCGATACTAATTGCAGAAGACGGCATTTCCGAGTCTCAGTATTTCAAACTTTCATAGGAGAATCGAACATATCGTCGAACCTGCCAAAGTTTCTCCCAAAGGTTTTACCTTAAAAACAACGCGAAAAGATAGGTGCTTCCAAAACCAATAAATGCGTGAGAATATATAGTTATAAATTGTTAATTTTGCATTTCAATGGGGATCCAAAGATCACATATTCTTTCAAAATTTTAGCCACTTAATAATTAATCCAGTAAATTCGCGAAGTCGTAAAAATAACATAAAAACCTCCTTTGTAAAAAGAAATTACGATATTTCTAGATCTTCATTTGCTCTTGATATTTTGAGATCGATGCCAACGATCTAACGGCAGACAATTAAGAAGCTAATTTTCTCGTTTTCGCAAGTGTTCGCGCGCTTCCTGATTTGCGCATGCGAACGGACATGCTCAGCGTACGAGATTGGATTTTGTTGAACAACATGGAAAACTGGCTAATACATACTCCCAATAAAAACTATTCTTTCTTTTTAGGGCATATCGGTTTAAAAACAAGCGACTGCTGAAGAATTTGATGATTGTCGACCAAGGTGGTTGCCCATATAACTTTCCAGGTGTAGGAGGTATTTCTTATGTTAAAGATTTGATGACGGAGGAAATTGTCTCGAGGGATTTTTCATGTTCAATATTTGGAGCATATTCTCATCCCATTGCAAAAATTGGTTGGGTAAGATATTTTAATCCAGTTTCCGCAAATGATGATAATGCACAATCTGTTTTAAAATTAATATAACATAACAGAACGTAAACTCGCCTAATTTACTTTTTGCATTTTTACCTGTCTTTTTAATGTGGCCAATTTGGCGTATATCTATCGGAGTTTTTGCAGTGTCCATATAACTGATTTTAGTGCGCAGTACGTGATAATCAATTTGCGCAGTCATAAAAGTAAAATGTGCTGTGATAAAATGTAAAATGTAAAATGTGCAGTGACAAAATTTGCTGTGATGCAGTAAGTGGTTAATTAACAAGAAAATGGGGCAATGAGCAGAAAAACTGAACTAAAATTTCGTCTTGTCACTTCACATTATTAATCAAGACATTTTGATTGGGAATAATTTGAATGGAATTCAAATGATAACACGCGCCCAAATTATCGAACGTCCGCAATAATATTATTATACTTAAGGTTCATCAAATGAACAAAGTCTCTCACCAAAGATATTACTGTGCTGAGTGGTGATATTACTAGCTGAAAAAAACAACGGTTTCGAGCGAAGGCCCTTCGTCAAGGGTTAGTGGCCACTGATCTCTTTATGAACTTGAAAGATGGATCTCTCCAAAGATCTCTTTATGAACTTGTAAGAAGGAGTGATTAGAACTTTTTTAATTAGCGTAGCCAGAATTCAGAATTCTATAGAATGTCCCAGCACATTTCAGGAAATGCCTTTTTACAGAGCCTAGATTACAAAGTGTTCTTTGTGTGGATGAATTCTTTTTGATATCCTCTAGAAATCTGTCATGCCTAAGACGCATTTCATTTGCCGAGACGTACGAAAATATTTTTTGTCTATAAGCATGTGATTCTGAAACTAAGCGGTCATAACTACAGGTTCTGTAAAGGCCGCCCCAAGGGGTGGAGGGGTAACTTTCCTTGGGCCCCAGTAAAAGGGGGTCCCAAAAAGAGAATTACAGTGAAATATACACAGTATAAATGTCAGCTAAATTTCCAGAATGCAGGATTTGTTTACTTCAGGGACATCACATTTTCCCGGTGAGAATACCCTCATACCACCGTAATCACAGTGTTAGAGGATGGAATCACGTTGTGCCCTAAGTAAATCAGAAATTTTTAGGGCTCGGATAAACTTTGCACAAAAATGTGCGGTGAAAAAAAATTTTAAATTACGTATGATATTATCTCATAATTATACTGTAACCTTGCTCAACCTATATCTTTGTATAATACATGCCAGCCAATAAATAGTTATTATTAAAATCATCCGCAGTTACTATAAAATAAATCCATATAATTGTTAAAATGACGGCAAAAACTTTGGCCGCCCAATCATTATACTGTATATATTTGCTCAAATATGATCAAGCGATTGTGAACAGCACCGATACTCTATTAAATTAACACCCAAATAATATGACCTAGAGATTTCTTTTCTTGCTCTTCTATTTCCGTAGCTCTGTTCCTACTAATAATATTTTCCTAATCAAAACAGACCATGATGAACCTTTGCTTAGAAAAAACATGTTCGAATGGATTTGCCTATCATCCTTTATACTGGGTCCTCTTACGCATATGATAAATTGCTCTCTAATGACAAGCACATTCCCTGACCTATGGAAGATTTCTGAAGTTATACCCCTACTAAAAGAAGGAGACCACGAGATAGCCTCAAACAATCGGCCTCTCTCACTACTCGTGGTAGTTTCAAAAGTTTGTGAAAAAGTTGTTCTAAATCAATTTAGCTCCTACCTCAAAGAATTTAATCGCATATCGTCACATCAAAGCGGGAATAGGAGTCTTCCCTCCACAGAAACCTTAAACATATTTGTTACCGATACGATGTTGGAAGCCATAGACAACAAAAATCTAACGGCACTAATTTTATTGGATTTATCCAAGGCATTTGACAGTGTCAGTCATTCGATTTTATTACACAAATTGAGTTGTATTGGTGCTTCACCCGAAGCTGTTAAATGGTTCCAAGACTATTTAACAGGCAGATCCCAATACGTGCGCATTGGATCCACCAAGTCATCAGCTCGCCCGATAAGCCATGGCGTTCCACAAGGTGCAATACTATCACCACTTCTGTTTTGCATCTATATTAATGATCTGCCAGGGAGCATACAATCGTGTAACTTTGATTCATACGTAGACGACTCAAAGCTTTACAAATCATTCTGCATCTACGACTTGGAACTGACAACTATCAATTTAGAGGCAGATCTACAAATAGCAGCCAAGTGGTGTTTGGAGCACCAATTACTGGTCAATCCAGAAAAAACTAAATTCCTTGTAGTCGGTTCAAGACCCATGCTGCAGAACGTACCTACAGAAATATCGCTAACATTTT